ATCAGCCGAGTCTACGTTAAAATTATTTTCTCATTTGATTTCGCGATTAAACGTGCGCCTCTGTCATTAACTTGGAGACGTTTAAAGTTATGCAAATCGATTCTCTCTAAATTCCTCGTCTTACGTAAACAATACGTTTTTCCTTTGCTCCGTCTTTGAAAATTTTCTAAATATTGCTGGTCACGTTGTTAAAAAAAAATATTGCCTGACTAGTTTGACTTTCCCAAAACTTCTCGACTATTTTTGAAAGACCAATTATTCTCCAATTTCAGTCGTAAAGTGATATTAATGTTAATCTTTCGCGGATCGTTTGAATCGGAATAAACAGGAAAGAAGTAAGTCAGAGCAGGTATCGCTTCGTACCGAAGAAGAAAAAGGCTGCAAAGATACGACTGTTGCCAGCTACAGTTGGAATTGGTCGCGAAGCTTAGGAGGGGGAGGTAGGACGGTCGAAATACACTTTTATCAGCTTACTTTGCTGTCCGAGAGAGACTAGGTCGACGAACTCATCATGGGGGGGCCACGTTCTTGTCGAGTCGCCGACAAGCAGACACTTCTTTTCTACGCTGAATTCCTTCCATTAATCTTATTGTCAAACAACGAGGCGAATTGTAACAGTCCGATTGCTACCTGCACACTCGCTTCTTGCGTCACTCGGTTCCTCGAACGGTCGTTCCAGCGACGTCAAATTGAAATTTTTTTGATTGTTCGGGCGACGGGGCGATGGAGGCGAAGGAAAGCAAGAGGGAGGGAAAGGGAAGGAAAAGTACGGAAGAACAAAAAGTACCGATGAATATGTATGTGCATCATCGGGAGAATAACACGCGACGAGACGAAACTTACGACACGTAAGAAGCCGAGTAAAACGAGCGTCTCTAAAGTCAGACTGATTAATTATACTTCTCGTTAGTCTCTTAATTTCGTTACATAAATATCCGATTCTCGAGAAACGGACGACGATAGGAGGGAGAAGACGACACGATTCTGTGATAAATTAATAAAAAGTTTAATCACTTTTCGTGTTGTATTTTGAATTTCCCGATCGATCGGATATACATGCATATCGGAGGAGCAGGTTTTGAGCAGTGCGAATTGTGTAATAACCTCGGCGTAAGCTGTCTCGCCATCAGCCTGTGTTTAATTTCGTAGATTGCGATTCGTTCTAACGCAGCCGGGTAGATGAAAGATCAAAGTGTTAACGAGACACACTCCGCCGGATCGATTCGTTTCTCGTGCGGAACACGTGCGCGTATCACGCCCGGCCACGTGGCTGGGGAAACGTTGGTACAGGCTGGCCGACGAACCGTTCCACGTGAGCCTCCATCACGAAAACTACCCCGATAACCCGGCAAACTGTGTTACACACGGTGGTGTTTAATTATCGGACCTCTGGAAGCTCCGTCATCACTCGGTCCGTCGGTGCATCAACGTGAGAATAAGAGAGAGAGAGAGAGAGAGAGAG